CCTGCATGGCCCACAAAAGGGTGAGTGAACTTGGCATAGCCACTTCCTTCTCGAAATTTCACCCTGCCCACAAAAGGACAAAAGGGTGAGTGAGTGAGTGAGTGAGAGTGAGTGAAAGTGAGTGAGAGTGAGTGAGAGTGAGTGAGTGAGAGTGAGTGAGTGAGAGTGAGTGAGTGAGAGTGAGTGAGTGAGTGAGAGTGAGAGCGAGAGTGAGTTTGAAGCAGCGCATCCCCGTGTACAGACGAGGTTTATCATTCGCGTGTACAGATGAGTCACTTTTCGCGTGTACAGACGAGGCGCCGGCCTCCTACCTGGATCCCTTCTTTTCTTCCTTCCCTTCCCTTCCCTTCGACGAGGTGACCAGGGACCAAGGGGACCAGGGGACCAAGGGGACCAGAGGACCAAGGGGACCAGGGGACCAAGGGGACCAGGGGACCAAGGGGACCAGGACGACCATGTGGACCAGGAGCAAGCATACAAGAGACGGGAAAGGAAAATAGTTATTTGTTGATTAGTTAATTAATTTGTTGTTGATTACGTAAATAATTTTTTTGATTCAGTAATTAATTTCTTTTTGATACACATGCCCACCATGGAACGGATGCACCACTTGCATCTCATTCTTCTAAACTGGACAACTTGATGATACTCGACTTTTCTGGAAAGACATCGTCTATTTTTGGGAACTGATCTTTTTAAAGGTTCTGGAAGCTGCTGGTATAGGTGTAGTCTGACAGTCTAATGTACCAAAACCACTGGTCCCAAGAGGGAACCTGCCATCCGTTCCGATGCACGTTTCGCTGGCCATGATCGTATGGCGCCTTTCTTGAACGTCTCCACCCCAGCTGCAGCATCTACAGCAGCGGGCAGAATCACCTGGCAGGTGCAATAAGCATGTGCACACGAACGAGGACTGACACATGGGGTGATCTAAGTGACTCTACCAGAGCCGATGGAGACCATCAACGGTAGGACTTCATCGGTGGTCCATGTAACAAGCACATCATCACCCGGTGCAAAACGCTGATCCCGTGCATGGGTGGAGCATGAAAAACGAGATCATCTCCAACTCACCCAAAAGCGGAGCATTGCATCATATTGCATCTAAAACCCCACCTCAAGGCCTCCAAACCCCACGCCGCCCTCATGACGCCTGAGGCCAGTCGTCCCCAGCAGTCCAAAAGCAGTCCACCCGCTGCATCACACCCAGCGGAGTCACCCCGAACCTGCAACTGGCGCTTGTCCAAAGCCTCACACGTGAGGCGAAAAGGGTGATGCCTCCGGTGTCCGAACCTCCTGGTACAGCCGCTGGTTCTGACTCCAGCGGTGTGGCCCGCGCCTGCTTCAACACCACCGAGGTCAATCCCTCTGGTGGCCCCATGGTGGCAGAGACCAGGGTGCCTCGTGGCAGTGTCCACCCGCGGCCGTCCGGTGGAAACCAAGGTCCAACATGGTCGAACGCCTCATGGGTTTATTGGGCGATCCTGGTGTTTGCTCCGCGAAAAACACGCCTTAATTGTCAGTGTGACCATGTGGACACCCGACATCAGGAACGTTCTGGCGGACAAGGTCGCCACAAAGGGCGTTTGAGCCGTTTCATCGAAACCTTTTGGCCCTCAACTAGTGCAGCAACGATGGTTTCTTCCCATCCTGAGGACGATGCTGTCGTCATCACCTCCAAGTGCCACCGCCACGTTGTCGGCCATCACCCCTGGCGCTCGCTCCAAGGGCTGCATGGGATGTAGTTTGAGAGACTGCGGAGGTGGGGAATGCGAAAACAACTCCAAACATGTTCATTTATATATTTATGATATTTGTTGGGACCAAAGAGCTGGGGCCAACGATTCATGCCAAGAAGTACATCTTGGCCGAAAATCAAAACATCAAACCATTCCTCGCCCTGTGTCAACGCACGGATCGTTCGCCATAAATCCACTTTCCCTCCTTGAGCACCACCAGCCACGGCTGCTTGCGCCAAAGAATTCTTGACCTCGGATGGCGACGACTGGGATGTGAGGTGGACCGGAAACGCAAAGCCTTTCACCGCACAACCCCACAAGCTCTTTGGATCGTCAGTTCCGTTGCCGGCTCCGTTTACGGCACATCCGGCCGCCCGACACGCGGACCAGGCTTAGGTGCCCTGCGAGTTCCTCGAAAGCGGCGACGTGGCCACCTTCCTCCAACGGAGGCCACATCACATTGGCCTCGGGGGTTGTGCAAATTGGGAACACGAGTGGTGAGCAACTCTTCTCCCACACCTTTGCCTGCCAAGGGTCCTTGCCATTGATCACCTTCTCTGGCCCAGCTTGCGTGAAAATGGAAGAACCTATATATAGTCCATTCCCTTTCACTCAAAAAACTTTCCAAGTGACATTGGACTGGTGAAATCCCCGAGTCCGTATCTTGAAGAGCCGGGCTGAAAGGCTTGTGGGGGCTGAGTTTTGGCACCGTGTTCCGCAGGTTTCCCCCAGCTTTCCCCCAACGCGCACTGCCCAGCTGCAATGCCAAAGCTGATGGTGATGTATGATGTGTCCTCAACTGCCTGCTTCCATCGGGCTTGGTCAGGTGGGGCCAAATACATCAACGCACTTCACAAGGATAAAGACCGCCATCAACAACTTGCCCCTTCTCCATGCGAACACCGCGTGTCACTGGGGAACCCCCCTGCTGCGAACAACTCCAAGGCCACGCTGTGCTGTGGCGGGATCACTTGTGGCTCCACACGGAGTGTGACGACGCGCGGAGCCCCAGAGCTCAGGTTCGATGCGTTGCGGGGCGCACGGGGGCGCCCGGTTCGTGCGGACGAGTCATTGCTTCGCATGTTTAGCGCGTGTCGAAGGGAGGCTGAACCGTGCTTCTGAGCGTGCTGCGCCGGAACAACAGTTCTGCTGAAACACCGGCGTTTTTGTGAAGGGCCAAATGCCTTTTGTGGGTTCCCGGATGTTTCAGTGACCCATCCTGGCCGACCATTCCGCCCACATTAAATCATGAATTGAGGCTACGTGCTACTGGATTTCTCAACCTTGAACCCATTGGGAGGCCTCCCAGAATAAATGCAACAAACATAATATGTGTGTTCAGGTTTGTATAATGTTAAGAAAATGCAAAAGGTTAAGAACATTACTCAAACATGTTCCAGGGAAGATTCAAAAACCCATTTAAAAGAATGCGCGTTGAGTATGGGTAAAGGATGGGTTTCGGCACGGGTTGCGAAAACACCGTGTTTTCTCTTTTGCTCGAGGTATTTGTCGAAAAAGTACGGGCTAGTACCGGTGAAGTACAGGTTTGGCACAGGTTGAGCTCCACTCGTTATTGAATTGTTCTCTATGTGTTTCTCAGGCGTCAAAGTCGCTGATACCCTCCAACACCCTGGTACAATCAGAGCAGAAAGTGTCTGTGAATTATATATATATATCAATTGTTGTCGTCGATTCTCTGATTCTCTTTGTGCAGTGTCGAAACACTGGCTCGGATGAGCCCCTGCCCATCCTCAACGCGCGGGCGCGGGCGACCTTTTCCTCAGCTTCAGCCGAAAGGTTTCCCTGAACACGAAGGCGGATGCACGAACGAGCCTGAATGCAAGGAAGCGCTCATGGAAGGACTTTTGACACTGGTCCTTTTCTCTTTCAAGTTTTAAATTGCCCTATCTTCACTTTATGGTTCGGCGCACATCAGGGGCTGGAATCATCACTCCAAGCACACGCTCATCGGCCTGCATATCGCCCTCACAAGCGAACAAGGTAGCTTGCCAAATCTCGAAGCAAGCCAGTGGACGAACGAACTCGCGAGGAACACCATTTGATGTAACTCTTGGCGCGATTCTCCGAGGTTGCGAACTCATAGTATGACATGCTCATGCCATTGTATTACAGTAGCCAAAAGCGATCACGGTACGACCCCACTCGTGCATGTCCTGAATTAGTCAGGCTGCCTCGCTAATCTGGAGTTGGTGCGCGCAATCCTCGTGGCTTACGCCGCTACATGACAGAACTTTATCCAGATCCAAAGCACCAGGGTCCCATGTCTCTGAACGTAGTCGCATGGGCCTCTGGTCTTGAAACGCAGGGTCCGCTTCCTTCAGCGAATGAACCCTGAGCTTGTTTAATGATGAACTGGGGCAGATCTCTCCGCTTCCTCTTCGACTGGCCAAACGACGGAATGCGGACAGCTGTCCATGACACTATCAGACCCAATTGGCCATGTCATGACGCTATAGCATCAATCAGAACGTTGAGTCTCTGCTGCTAGATGGGGATGTTTGCTCTTAGAATCTAAGGCAATTGGGCGTTTTCATTTTAACCACCAAAACCTCTGCGAAACAGAGTGGTGGTGAAATTGTACAATCAGGCAAGTCGGGGATCCAACCATGTGTGGTCGATGATGGCATAGGAGGCGGCACACTGACGAAGCTTGTGTATCCAGCTGCGGACTCAAAAGCATTCGAGCCCAAGGGATATTGCACCGGAGGAGACATGGATGGCTGGCAAGGGCATCACACTCTTGGGGAATGTCTCTTCCCATGGAAATTTGGTGGTGCGTCTTCATGGCGTTTGGAAGCGTCAGACATGGTTCCGTGCAGATCAGGGATGAACTGAAATCCGAAATCCAGCATCACTATTCTCATCCCCATTTTCCAGAGACAACGATTCCGGCGGGCCCTCCAGCATCCCAGGATTGGCATGAGCACCGGATGAAGCTTTGGCTAAGGAGCCGATTCAATTGGTCGCGCTCTTTTGGGGTCAAAGAAGCGGCCATGGTGCCACTCACAAAGCAAAGTGGGCGGCTGTGACAGCACAAAACAGATGATCACGCAAAACACCCGAGCAATATTTCATGAAAGAGAACCACATAGTTTGGATGGCTATCAGGCGAAAAATTGACGTGAAACTCAATACAACATTTGCTCCAAAATTGGAATCACTCACAAGATCTTTCGGGCAGTGCGCCCCACTCATTAACCTGAGGAGCCTATCTTTCCTGACCTTTCGACTGTGCCGTGCACTCTGGCTTGTTGTTGAAGGATCAATTCTTCAGGAGAAATCTGATACATCCCTTGTCGGACGCATGCTCGGAGAAGGTCTGCAGGTTCCTGGCGATCTTTTGTTAGCCCGTCAGCTAGCATTCTATCTGTAGGGATCCACCTGACGATACCGTTGGTCAAGTTCAATGATTCTGATCGCATAAGGACTCCCTTGCCACGGTCACGGTGGTGCTTGGTGATCTACGACCTGTCGGGCGTCGCATGGACCATCAAGAACCTCTGCAAGCATCAAAGACAACCACTCTGCCGTTCCACTAGCAGAGGCCAAAGCTCTCTCTCCGCCGAGCGTGGAACTCACCGCCCGCGGAAGGCGGTAGCTGTGCCAGGTCACAGGTGTCCAGGCCGACACTGTGTTTTTCCACAAAGGTAAGAATGTAACCGGCTTGTGTGTGTGTGACAACCTAAGTTGGCGAAAGCTGCTGTGACAGCATATCGTAGACTTGAAATGAAACGAATCTTGAGATCTCTATGTTGCTTTGCTCGCCTGATGGCATTGTTTGCTTCCCTGAGGTTTTGAATGGTCGGTTTAGGAAACCCTTGTTGGCAGAGACTGGCTTGTCGAGACTCTGGGAGGATAGCCAATTCAGGCTTCCATTGATCGCCCTCACCTCAAAACTCTGGTTTGTTGCGCGGTGAAGGGTTGAGGGAATGGAAGCGGGTCGTAGGCTTTCTGCGAAGGATTGCTGAGACATTGTGATATCTTTGGTCTTAGTGCACTGTTCGTACAAAGCTCCACAAAAGTCGCCATTTCCTACTCGCCACTTTCGAAATGGAAATGATCTTCCTGGACCAGTTCCTCCTACAGCAGTATCGTCCACGTGGATGCCCATGACACGCCCTTGTCTGGGCACCTGAGAGTGTATAAGCACGGATCGAGGATCAACCGAGACCAGCCTAAACGATGCGCTTCAGTGTCGAAGGCCTTTTGCCAAGCTCTGGGGGCACCATTCTGACCATAAATGTTCCCTACCACTTCGATGACTACATCTTCCCGATTTGGAATTCCTGGAGTCCCCCCTGGGGGCATCTTTGCGTACAAAGGACGATATTATATTGATCAGGAAGCTCAGTGGCCTGGAGGAAGGCACCCTTAATGTCTCCCAACTGAAGTGTCCATTTACGGGGCGCGATGATCTGCATCAAAGTCATGCGTCCTAGTTGACTCAAGGTAGGGGATTGAAGCAAACCTTCAGCGGCCTGCCTCCAAGTCAGGATCAAGATGGCCTTGCACCCCATCTCGTGAACATCTACACTATAACCCCATCTTGAGCGGCTTGCGAATGATGACAGGGGCTGTGGGAACCCATAGAACGATCGCCATGCTGAGCCTTGCTTTGGAGGGCTTTCTTACCATAGTGTACTTTGACTGCATGCTTTTCTGTGATGGTCTCCCACTCAACTCCCTTGGATTCGTCAATCAGTTGTTGAAGTTCAGGTGGATTCTTAGAGGGCGGCAAGTCCTTACTCAGCTTCTTCTCCAAGTAGGCACCAATGAAAGCCTCGATGCCTTCCGTGCTGAAGGCAATTATTTGCCTCCGATATTGCCAGCACTTCTTCACAACAAAAGAAGGGCATCGTCCTCCTCTGCGCGGACGCAAACAGCTGGTGCCTCTGGCAACTGATCGGATGGCTCTGGAGACACAGATCTTTTAGTACCATGCTCATGCTCCATCTGTTGATCAAGTTTTCGAGATTCGGTTGCTTGCTCAATCATGAGGGGGACCAGTTCTTTGATCACTTCCAGGAAATCGTCTTGTCTCATGGCTGCTGGCCGGTACAAATTCTGTCATTATCCGGTGACTTTGTTGAGGACGAGCTGTTCGTCAGGTTCAGAATCACATATGGACTTCGAGTTCTTGTTTGGCACCAGTTCTGCTGTTGGACAAACAGTACAGGTCTCCGGCCCTGTGCGATCGGACATTTCTTTTACATGGTCCGGCTGGCTGACTTCTGGATCCGCGGCCGCTGGAGACATTGAGACGTCTTCGGTGTTCTCAGGAACGACATCACCGTTTGGGGGCTCACCACTTGGGGACTCTGGAGACATGGTAGGATAATGACCTGGCACGAGATCTACGAATTGACCGCTCTTGGAGGTGCCACCTTCGATCAAATCCTTGATGCTTAACAGTTCCGCTTGAGGGGAGGTCACCAAGGTTTTCTCTTGGGGGCACACCTAAAGATCTGCCGTCGACGAGCAATGATCCAATTCTTTCCCACTATGACCACGGCAGCGCCCTACCACCAACCTCCCTGCTGAATCGGGCCTTTACCGACTAGCTTTTGTTGTCTCCAGCACACGAGGACACCTGGAAGGTGATCCCGGCTTGTCTAGCACTTCGAATTGCCTGCGCTCGAGCGATGGCTTGATCTGACAACCCTGCTGTTCCGGGAACAACATGTGGCTCACTCATTAGATCACCGGGGACATGAATATCTACACCGAACACATGCTGGCTTGGGGCATGTCCATAGTTTTGATTCTTCACATGTGCGTGGCGAACTTCTTCCCATTGAAATCTTTGATAGGACCCGAGCGAACCATCCTTCATGCGACTCTGCGCAACCTAGCTGCCGATGAGCTCCCAGCTGGAATCAGTCGAGCCACCGACCCTTTTTCCTCCAAATATCCCTGGAAGGCCTCACCTAGATTCGTTCGGGCTTGATCGAAGACATTCTTCTCTCTCGAAGATCCAGCCCATTGAGCCCAGTGGGTGTCGAACAGTTTCCTGAAAACTTGGGACGCTTCCTGTTCGAAGAAAGGAATCACCTGCTGAAAACAGCTACCTTGATCTCCTTATTTGTTAAAGGATGTTAAAGGGCTTTGATCTGGTGTACTCCTACGCTATGGTTGGACTCATGAATGAATGCGTGTCGACCGAGCTGGAAGGGGCACGTGTGGTTTAATCTGAGCTCTGCAAAGCTCACAAGAGAGTTGTCGAGCAAGTTCGGTAGCCTTCGATGACACTGCGCCATGCTTCAAAAAAACTCGAATGAGATCAGACGTCGATGGGTGTCCCAAATTTTTTGTGAAGTCGGAGCAAGGCCTTCATTATCTTATCTTGATCTTCACCTTGGAGTTCTTCCTTGCTCATGAGTACCTCATGTGTTTCCGTGGGACAGTCAGTACGGACCTCTATCAGCTATGCTTCGATGTCTCGGCTGAACGAAGGAACAGTTTGCAGCACTGCCTGCACGAATGACGGCGTGCACTGACTAGTGAACTGGCTGATGGATCCCACATCCGGACTTGAGCCTGCGATCGTGTCATGACATGTGTGATGCGGATCGCTATTTCCCAAGCATGTCATGATTTCATGGCTGACCAACAGTTGAGCCGACTGCCGGATGTAGTGAACACTGCTGGCCAACTTCAACCCGAAGCGACACATGTGGCACTCGTTTGGATAAAACTTATTGCACAGTCGCTGCATTTCTGGGTGGCCATGTTTTGGCTCCAGGGGGGTGCTCAAACAGTGCTTGTTTGCCAGCTTGGACCTGGTTCTCAAAGAGCTCACAACAAAAACGGATGAACATTCTGCTGAGTCGTTTCTTTTGAAGATACTCTTGAGGGGTCATCTTGGTGGCATTCAGGTTGAACCAACCTCCTTCGTGTGTGCACGGGGGACAAAGAATGAGCAAATCTGGTGGATTCTCCTTCAAGAACTTTTTGACTTCGTCTCTACATTCATGGTGGATGAAATCCCAACCAGTTCTTATTAAATCATACGCCATACGCCCCCCCGATGCATCCCAAGGCTTCAGGGGACGGAGTGAACCTGCGTGGACTGAACACTTCTGACCTCTGCCACTAAAAACGTTTACCATTGATCCAAGTGCCTGCGGCCGCAGCTTCAGATATTTGGCTACGAATCTGGCGGACAACCTGCACAGGCAAGCTCTCAATGGAACATGACTTCTCCCGAGGCACGAGGAAAAATCAGTCCTAGTACGAACAACTTCCTTGGGAATTGGTTGAAGACAGTTTCTCGTCCTCATTGGGCGCAATACGTTGGTCCCATAAGACTGAAAACGATTTTCGAAAGTGGTGAGCTCTTTCCAGTGATAGGAGTGACCGTGAGACCAGTGTCAAAACGAGTGCAAACGGAAGCCTCTCTTGCACTTGGTTCTGGAGGTCAAGTGGCTCGGGAGAGATCATGCCTGTGTCTGTGTCACTCTCTTCACATGGCTGTGGTGTTGCTGTCACAGGATTCGTGACAAGCGGCTCAGGTGAAGATGTCATCACTTCCTCGCATTGGGCAGCTTCTTGGGCGAAACTGATCGCAAATTGTCCAGCCGTGTTGGCGCAGGGGGATTGTACTGCGATCTGCAAACAACGACATTTGGCGCTTGTCAAAAACCAAAACTGCCTTCAACTTCTGTAGGGCAATCCGGGAGATCAGCAGGGGTGCCTTGCTTTGAATCACCGCTGCACGTATGATCCCTATGCGCACTGGCATTGGAATCACTTCTGTTGATCGGTCCTTGTGTCCATTCCTAAAAGGCAAATGGTTGATCTCAGGTTCAGGTGCAGGGCATGGGACGCCATGCCGTTGCCAAAGTTGCTTGAACTCCGCCAAGGTGTCACGACCAATGATGGTACGGCCACAACCCGAGTCCAAAATACCAACGCTGGGCTTGAAACCAGCAGGCATTCCGTGTTATCGGACCACTCACTCCAGCGATTGGCCTGAAGACGTTCAGGACAGTCATCGTGGTGGGCTGTACCATGGCGATGAAGAACTCCTTGGCCTCTTCAGCAACGAACACAGCTTGCAATCCCTTTGCTCTTGCCACCTTGTCGGCATTCCTTTGACCAGTGACCAATTTGGCCACATCGATGGCAACGAGTCTTCTTTTTCAACTCGGAAAGAGCGACGAACGTCCGAGGCCTGTGTGAAGCGACGAGCTTTCTGAAGATGATTGAGCTCTTGTCTCTTGTCTTTCCAACTCACTGAAAGGGCCTCCACGACTTCAGCCTCATCAAAGGCCTCCTGCTCTGCAAGAGGTTCCTCCTGGTGTTCAGCAAGCAGCTCTTCAATGTCATTGAAATCGTCTAGATCCTCCATTGGATCAGGTTCCTCTTCAGGCAGCTCCTGAGAAAGTTACGCGCTTCTTCACGATGCAGTCGGGGTAGCAACTCCTCATGGCCTTTCCAATCTCTTCTCGCTTCAGGACGCCGACGGACCTGGCCAAACAACGGCCTTTTATTTGGCATCCAAATCACTGCGATTCCTTTTGCTTCCTCCGGACAGGCGACATTTGTCTTGCGAGAACATTTGTCAAAAACTCAGACGCACGACTGTACCAGGCCTTCAAGCTCTCTCCTTCACGAGCCTTTAACGAAAAGATCTCGGTGAGGTTCTCGGACATCGCGTCAGAGGCTTCCTTTTCAGGAAAACGAGCATCCAAAAGCTCAAACAAACACGCTCTCCGCTTTCGAACGGGTACTTGGAAGCATCCAAGCGTCCGACGTATTCTGGCGCCTTGCCAGACAAAAGTAAGAACACGTAAGCTACCCGGGCTTCTTTGGGCATTTTGGCCTGAACCCAGGCCTTCCACCTGCGGCACTCCTGATCTTCATTTTCACTTAGAAAAATACTTAAGGCCTTCCGACTCATGGCGGCGCCGGAGCCGATCCGGATGAGCCCCTGCCCATCCTCAACGCGCGGGTGACCTTATCCTCAGCTTCGTTCCCGAAAGGTTTCCCTGAACACGAAGGCGGATGCACGAACGAAGCTGAATGCAAGGAAGCGCTCATGGAAGGACTTTTGACATGCAGTATGCCAGCTAGGTGGTGGAATGAAATTGGACCTCAGGCACTAAGGGATGCCCATTCAATGCCTTTGTTCTTCAACAAAAAGCCTTCTAGAATGTCAAGAATAAAGGGTGGTTGGAAAACCCGAAGGTTTTAGACAAAGCCCGATGTGTTTCAGAATCGATGTCTTCGCGCTCACCCCTTTCAAACCACAGGCTTTGGTGCTGCCAGTGGGCAAATGTCTTACACCTTAAACTACAACCCCCCCCCCAAAACAAAGTCGTTCAGATCCCGAGCACAGGCTCGCACTTGATGCTGTTGTGGTCATCTTCTCGTTCACACCCCGACGAATCACGAACCCCCGGGAACTTTTTGGGATGGTGCCGAAGATCCAGCCATGATCTGAGTACGTGCGTAGCCGGCGTAGCCTAAGATCTCGAGCAACCGTTAACACGACCCAATCCTCGGACCATATGGCCGGACTCGTCCGGGGACGCACATGCAACGATTCGTCATCATCGTGCCCATAGGTCTCGCCCATCGTCGGGCCCATTGGTCTCTTCGTGTGTGGGAAGTTGCCGGTGACACATTGGATCAATGAATCCTTCATGGCTTGCCTTTGGAATTGAACTCTTTCCTCTACTCCTAACACCCTCCGGCCACAAGTGGGGTGACCCCCGCGGGACCTGGTGCAAGGGGATCTCTGGGAAGGGGACGCCCTTGGTGAGAAAGGCGGTCAAGGCGGCATTTCGTGCCATCAGTGGATGTGAAGCTTGTCTAGATGATGGAAAGCATAAGGCATATAGTGGATTGAGAGTAGATGGCACAAACCCCAAGAGGTGGTTTATATGGACCCCCATCTAAAGGACATCTTGGGGACTGTGCCATCTACTCTGAAAACACTGTAAGGCATACTGCACATGGCCCAAGACCCCCCCAAACAGCATCGAACAAAGCACGGCACCAAGGCGCACTCCCAGGCGCCCATCCCGGGCACCTCACTTCCTTTGAAACATGTTGACAGGGTTGCAATCGATGGCATGATCATCTTGTCTTAAACCTCACTGAACGTTCCCACCAGGCCAAACCCCCCGCTGCACCCAACGGAACGCTGCATCCCCCGCAACACCCTAAGGGCAGTGAAAACACCACCACGTCAAGGGGACGTCCCCACCAGTGAGGTTGAACGGGATGATGTTTATATATACTTTACAGGCTTGTGCAAGGCAAGGAAGGAAGAACATATCGTAATGGTGTGCCAAATTTTTTGTCACATCCGCAATCCTTTCCATGTCCTTTCTGCGTAGAGCTCTGCATGGAGACGCGCATGCGGCACATGCTCCAACGACCCTCATGTCTTCCCAGCATGGTCCACCAGAAACCTCCACCCGTAGATGGAGATTTGATAAGACTTGAATGACTTGGTCTTGGGCCCCCCAGCCTTCCCAATTCCGGACCCCCCCATTGAAAAACAGGTGCCTGTGCACCTGCCGCTGCCGCTCCTTTGGCGCCCTCCGGCGCATCTGCGTGCTGGATCTTCTTCTTCAGCTGCCAGTGCATGATCCCCAAGCAAATGGCGTTGAAGAGAAACTGGGCCACTGGTGAGGGCGAAAGCCAAAGAAGGTGGGCAAGCGGGAAGCTCAGGTGTCGGTGCTGTCAAGTTGCAGGAGTAAACCACTGGGAAACTGAGGCGACATACCGCCTAGACTCGTGAACTCTCCTTTTTCAAAAGCAGGAAATCGATTGGCCTGGTGAAAGAAGAGTGGGCCCCAGTAGTTAAAGGGAATGATTAGGATGAAAGAGGTTCTCTCAGTACCCCACACAATCCCACACATACCTCAATTGATGAAGAGATTGTGTCTGCTCCGACCACGCCCACGGACCGCGGAACACGCCACGCAGGACGCCACGCAGGACGCCACTCAGGACGCCGCCAGATCCAGCACCATTCCCCGCGTCACGGACGAGGTGGACAACAAGGGACCCTCCTGTCTTCGTTCGGCGCTTCGTTCGGCGCTTTGTTCGCTCGGGCGCTCGTTGAGGCGGGTGACCAGGTCGCCCGGCCGAAAGCTGGAAGGTTTGGAACGGTCGCACGGCCGAATGTGTGCAATGTGAAGATGTACCACGGGCCCACAAGAATTGCCATGCGAGGTTAAGTGACCTGAACTAGGACCCGTCACCTGGGGTACCTGTTGGGATAGTCTGTAGGGTTCTTCAACCTCTGTTGGTATGATTAATGAACACCGCTTAACCTCTTTCCGGGGCTATTTTCAGACACGGGACCCGTGGTAGTGAGTAGATTTGATATGATTCGGTCGTCACATGGGCCGGACGTGCCTCAGCCACTGTCGAGTGGTGAATGCTTTCGCCATCAAAGGCTTCTCCCCACCGACTCACATGAAAAACGGCTCCTGGGGTCAGAAAGTTGTTTCGCAGCTGAACAACAGAAGTACTACAGTCAGCCCCAGTTCGATTTGGGCGCCTGAAGGAGATGAACATCGCCTTCTTCCCCCCAAAGAGATACACCCGAATCCGGGCCCGAACCAACACATAGAGTTTGTGAACCGGGTCCGGACCCCTGCCACGGAGAGCACGACCTGCAGCAGCCACGACCACAAGGCCTGTTGCACGTGCGTGTCGGTGAGGTTCTTGCCCATGGGGCCTGGCGGATGCGACAACCACTGCGGCCCTTCAGTGGCAGAGGTGTATGACTGTATAACTACTATATCACGTAAGGCTTGTAAGAGAAAGACAAAGAAGAACAATAGACCTATCCCTACTACCTATCCCCCACTTGTAGCCAAGTCGTATCATAGACCTATCATAGACCTTCCCAGTCCTGTCCTCACTCCCTTCACCCCACCCAATCGGTTCGGTCCCCGCCGTCTGCACCCTGCACACCTCAGTGGATGAACCGGGTCGAACCGGGTCGAACCCGGACGCCTGGGGGGGACAGGGACACGGACCTCCCAGCTCTTTAAGAGACCAACAAGGGGCTCCCGGTTCACTCCGGACCTCCTCTCTCTAGTCCTCGCATGTCCTCAAAGGTGGGCCGACGTGGGACTCGTCGGCCGGTGCGGACGCGAAAAAGGAGGAGGAAAAAGGACATCGGCTCAAAGGCCAAGGATCACCAGCGGATGTCTTTTTCTGCAACGAGCTGTGTGCGTCTGCCATCATTGGATTCCGCCAGAAGAATGTCCTTCAGCATCCTTGAGCATCCTTGAGCATGATCAAAACTCTTCAAGTGTGGTTCAACTGGAGTTCTTGGATTCAACCTTGCAGCGCCGGACATGGTCCATCCTTGCCACCGACGCCTTCGGGCGCCACGTGCCTTGCCTCCCGCACATCCACGGCTCACGCCGCTCACGCTCCACACCCTCCGCAACTCGCAGGGCTTGGGCCTCCGGGCCCTTCTGGCCACGATCACCTCTGGGACCATTGAGCCCCACCAGACCAATGAGCTCCTCAGGGACCTTGATTTGAGGCGTGGAACTAGGCACGGGCTGGTGGGGGGAATGGAGTTAGTGCCGGAACTGTCGGCAATCCAGAGGTGGCTTTGGACGAACGAGTTCCTTCTGTTTCCGGTGGATGCGATGCATGATTTTGGGGCGCATGGTACGGCTTAAGGCTTAAACAGACTATGAAATGGGGCTGGACCTCTTGCCCAACAGACTCCTAGCACCAGGTCGGTCTCTGCTCAGGCTCTTCATCGGCGCGTTTCTGGTCAGGTCTGCGTCGGCGGCCGAGAAGTCTCAGAGATCGTCTCAAAGGCCCCTTTTTCCCACGGGTTTTCCGCCTCTTGGGGCCCCACTCTCACGTCCGATGGATCCAGTTACCCACCACCGAGGCAGGCACCACCAGGATCCCACCGATGCAGGGCCCGGCCTCGTAGGGATCCAAATGCTCGCCGTTCACCACGGTCGGCTTGCCGCTCTGGGCCGGGTCCGGCATGCTGCTCCGACGAAAGCGTCCACAGGAATGGTCCACAACACAAAAAGTGAAAAGCAAAATCCAACTGCCCGGGTCATGTTGCATCCTATGTCGCATCACCCATGTTGCATCCTAAGTTCTTCCTTTCTTCGCATCGCCCATGTTGCATCCTATGTTCCTTCACACCCCGCATGGGCCGTTTGGGTTCCGCAGTGCCTGCTCCTCCTCTGGGCCTTGGCCGATCCACGGCGACCGCCAGGGCTAGAAAAAGGGGGCGCGTCTTTGGGTAGTGAGTGTTTGGAACATGTTGCCTGAGTTTTGATGTGTTCATCCTGAAGTATGTGTCTACAAATTCCCAGAAGAATTTGGGCCTCCTACGAAGAAATTCGAACCCCAAGCCTAAGCCCAGTGGAACTGACTTAAGCCTTCAGCTCCTCCCCGGACTTTCTTGCAAAAAAGAACCGAGTTGCTATTCTGCTTGGCCTTTCCATTGCATCTTCATATCAGACCATCTCTCTTCTGAGTTGGTCCACTGATCCCTCCCCCTGCTCGCCACTCGCGCCACACTCGCCTCTATGTCGTGCCGCCTCGGGGTAGACTGGTCAGAGGGGGCCGAGAAAAAGGGAGTTCGACACTATCAGTGACACTATCCCGTCCCCGGAAGCATCCAATGTGGGTGTCATTTTCATAGGGAGGCCCCCATTTTCATAGGGTAGACTCGACTGGACAGATGGGAGTTCTTCTCACCGATCGGGGATGCCAAATCAAGGCCAGAGCTGCACCTCTACTTCTTCTTTTCGTGGTTTCTAGGCTCTAGGTCCTGGATGAAAAAACCACTGGGAAGTGGAACTGCCCAGTCGAAGCTGCGAGTGTACATGGGGTGCAGGGGGGGTTTTGCGACCAGCATTGGCAAAGGCCGACAGTATCAGTACTATAGTATCAGTTTTGTAGATATGGTGCACCTTATTTGTCCATCACTTGAAGCATTTTCACCAGGAGTCACGAATAGGAAGACTCAATCTCGTGGCCAAAAATACCAAACCTCACAGCCTCCCAGGCTCCTCAAACACCATATTCCTTGTTCAAACAGGGGGTTCTCCACTTCCATGTTTGTTGCAGGGGGGGGTGCCTGGTTACAGGCTCCGCCCAACCATTGTGAAGACTCGATCAATTCATTTCCGCCCAAGTCGAATCGTGGAGCATCCACGAAAGCGAGTCGCCCAGGGAGTCGAGTCGAAACGTCTTGGCTTCGTTTGGGCAGGTCGAAGGGTCCTGTAAGGGGGAGGGGCCCTAAGTAATGACTCTTGGTTCATCAAAAAAGAACGGATTATAAAACCTCTTCTAATGGGGGCCTCAAATGATTGTTTTATCAAGAGTCTACGTGAATTAGCGCAGGTGACGCGCCTGGTACTTGTGAAGATGCAGGTCCGACACCGCCAGAACCAGTGGCACGGCGCCCAGTGCACCAATGATCGCACCTGGCCACTGCCATGGGGTGGACTGGTGGACACCACCAAGGGTGATTGACTTCTTCAAACCGTGGCAGAAACCCCCAGACCAGGGTGGCTCTGCCAGTCTGAGCAGTTTCAAAAAGAAAATCATGGGAAGCAAATTCTGGCAAATCCTTACATTTCTGGAAGCAGATCCTTACCATTTTGTACTCAGGTCTAGCGCCAGGCTTGTGCCTCCTACCTCCCATCCAAAAGGCACCTCGAATGGAAGACATGTACTTTGCAAGCTGAGCCACTCACGTAACAGTGTTGTCTTGAGCCACTCACGGCTCGAGGCAGGCGATTTCGTGCAGTCTCTAGTTCTGTGTCCCGGAACCGAAAGTGGATAAGAAACAACTGTTGCAAGCTGGTGGAAAAAATTGGAAAACTCATCCTCTGACTAAACCTGTTTCACCTCTTCCAACCAAACCCGTACCCACGGTCCGTACCGTTGAACGACCACCTCCGGTCCCTAAGCTCCCCGAGCCGGCTCGAAGTTCTTGTACAAGCACCGATCCTCCACCGTCTCGTTGAGCCACCTGCGCACGGTGACTCCGACTCCACACGGCACCACCACACATCGGCGGAGTGCGCGACCAGTGGAGCACCGGTGACAGGAGTCACCAGGAGAACCGGTGACAGGAGTCCCTTCATGTCCCAGTGGATGTGGGATCTTCTGGACACCCCCGAAGCCCCTCCAAGCACTTTGTTGGGGGGAACTGCTGGTCTACAGCTCTATCATGCTCTACCTCTCTACCTCTCTGCTGGTGCTTGTCTGGATGGTGATGCTATGTTTTGCTGGATTCTTGTCCAGCATGGCCTCGCACTTCCATCAAGACCACGTAAAGAATCAAGGTTGCAAAGTGTCAGGCGTGCTGCTCAAACGTTCAAACCTGTGAGAGGTCAGCTCCAATGCCCTGTGTTGCAGATCCAGATCTTCAGCCAACATCTGGAGTCACCACCCGCCCTGTGGGGCAGAACAGTGTTGAAGCTGGCTCACGGCTCTTCACGGCCGCCTTTAAGGCGGACGGGGTCTTTTTCCCAGACGAAACTGAGCCGATGGCCAGGCAGCCACTCCAATGCCGACTAGAGGACTGCCATTTCCATACATTTCCCGTACAAGGGGGAACTCGACTCGTATTACCGGAAGGACAACCAGGAGATACATCCCTGAAGTCCAGAAAAACCAGAAGATACACTCCCTGGATCATGGGCCAACGATGGGATGGCATGGCCTCTGTCGTTCACCATGACCATGAGTCTTCCGTTCGGACCAAGACCGGTGGTGCCATCCACGGGCCCCATGATGATTCCAGGGAGTGTAGGTCCTCTTTTCTTTACATGAAGTCATTTCTGGCAAAGGCCCCCCCGAAACAAGACGTGTGGGCCACACCTTCCACGGACACCGTGGTCTGATAGAAAGGAGCCCTCAAAGTCCAGGGATCAAATGGGAACGGTCCTTAGTCTCTTAGGGCCCTAAGGGATCATAAGTAATGTGGATGTTCTGGACCTCCAACCTCCATGAACTAAGCATCCCCTCCACTCAACTCCTGGTGCCAACCCCCTCTCCCCCCATCGCCTGTGCTTGAGCATGTGGGAGTTCTCCAGCGCGCGTTGCCTTGGGGGACCCCCCTTGCGTCGATCTTCGATCGATTCACCAGGCTCCCAGGCCCAGGCACACGGCTTCGCGGCACGTGAGGCTCCACGTGAGCCACCAGTTCGGGCTGGATGATGTTCCAAGGAAACTGGTTGGATGGATGATGGATGTGACTCGCTACACAACCCCTTCTTGATCCTTTTGAAGGGACGGGGTAAAGCGCCGCGTGCCTTTCGTGGCCTAAACTGCCCAAAAGCTCACGGCCTCACCGTGCAAGTCCTTGCCGTTTAGTAGGGCTTTCGTCACCAAAGGTTTCGAATATCAAAAGGCCTGTAAGAATTTGTAAGGGCGCTCATCCATCATTTGACCTGCCAGGTAGCTCCCCATCACAGACTAGTAGCTCCCTCAGGCAGACGCTCGAGCGCGCTGGGCCTGTCTCCTCCCGTTCGCCGAGCCACTGGAAGCTTCTGCTGCTCCGGTGTGGTGCCCACAACTGGAGCACAATGGCCAAGTGGAAATCACTGAAAACCCAGGACCATCCACTGCAAAAACGGTCACAAAATGAGACATGACCCTCTTGGAAAACACAAGGAAGTGGACAATGACCCTCTCGGAAAGACCATTCTCCTCCGGAAACCGGGGGTGTCCACTTCCATGTTTCTTGCAGGCCTTCCAAACTCCAACTCTCATAGATCAACAACGCACCGTGTTTATCCAAGACGACCACGGCCACCTGCATCCAGACTGTTGAACAACTCTCCAAAAGCTGTTGATACACCTGGATCCGGCTTCAGCGCCAGGCCTGCCGACCCAGGGGCGAGACCAAAAGGTCCGCTTCGCTCAAGACCTTCCGATTCGTCACCTGCCAACGAACTCGTCGGCGCGGGGGCAGCCCTCCAGCCATTTGGGACAATGGGTCGACACCGAGCGGCGGGGCGGAGTAAATGAATCGGCTTTGAACATCTTAAGAACTGGGGAAGGAGAGGGGCCAGGGCCGGCCAGGGGGTTTGGTTCATCAGCAGTCAACATGAAGGGTCTTTGTCCAGGTGGCGGATCAACACCAAGCCATCTCTGAGGCAACATGCCGTTCAGGAGACCCGAATCCTCCGCACCTGCCATGGCACCTTGAAATCTCCGAGCACCTCATGCGTGAGGAACAGTGGATTGAACATGCACATCGCCAAGGCTGCAAGCGAAACAGCAGGCTATGGATCTGCACTTCGTTCACCAACATAATTATATACATCTATCAACTTCACTGCAATGGAGTAATCGTGTGGAACCTGGAATCCTAAACCGTCAAAGGTAAGCCATGGGCCCTAACAGCCCTAACAGTCCAAGCCTTCGTGGCTCTGCGCACGTCTGCGCACGTTCCCAGGGCCCCGGGCCCCGGTGGGCAGTACTGGCTCCGCGTTGCTGGCGGGGCCCGCCAGCAAGAGCGGCGCCTTGGTGCGACCGGGAGTCTGGGAGGCTTGTCTTTGAAGCCTCCAAATCTGAAATCCATGTCAATTCATGACCAGGACCATCCAATGGGTGTTCAATGGACCACCCTACATTGCTTTGGGATCTCCATTTGTTGACACCATTGGACACCCATTGGATGGTCCTGGCATGAATTTCCTACAACCTCCTAGAGTCCTAGAGCTTTTGCCTTCGTCCAGTAGCACCGGACGAATCGAACTTGTCCAACATCGCGTTCCACCTGTCACCCAGCCCCGCATCGCCCGCGCATCGCCCGCGCATTGCCGGCGATGCGTGGATGCGCCACGCATCGGCCGCGCCTGATGCTCTTGATCAGCCATGAAGTCGGCCAGGCCCATCTCAAAGGTCTGGGCCAGGCCAGGCCAAGGGGTGAAGAAAGTTGCGAAGAAAGTGGCAAAGCCGAGAATGAGAAAAGCTGAAACGACAAAAACTGGAGAAACAGTCGATGGGAAATCTTGACATTTTTCTGAGGTGAATCCTTGGAGTCGGAGGACGTCACGGGTTTTCCTGCTTCTCAGAGGGTCGGGCTTAAGACCATCTTAACATTAACTCTAGTGACATCTAGTGACACCGCGGGCCGCCTCCAGGTACTGCAGCTCTGTGGCGGCCAGCCAGCCCGTGTTCGTGGGGTCCAACGTGTTGAAGACCCGCAGCAAGGTCTCGGGCGCCATGCCTCGGATTCTGCTCGACTCGAAGGAGGTAGAGCGAGGAGGTACGAGGTAGGTACGGAGGTAGGCGGAGGCGGCGGCGGCGCAAAGTGCGGACGCTGAAGAAAAAACAAGTGTTGGAGGATGTGACTTGGGTAGGGTGGCCAGTGGCCCAGTGGATGATGATGATGTTTTAAAAGGCCTTGCTCAAATTACTTTGCCGACGGATACTGGTTTAATTGGGCTACACCGGCTACACCCTATTAGATAAGTGTGGATGCCTTGATGATTGGGGTTGATGAGTTCCGGCTGGATCTGGAACTTCCTCCGTCTGAGCCGATCGTTCTCATCAGAGCGCCGACCAGGTCGGCGTCGGCCGAAGCCGGCGACCTGGTCCGCACCGGGCGTAAGAGCGGTCATCATGTTTTCAGCACCTGCACCTATAAGGTCTTCCAACCAACTCCAAACATGAGGCCGGGGGCCCAGAGGCTTTTCCAGTCCCAAGCCATCTGTCCTTAGAGAAACACCAAGACCCAAATAGTCTTCCAACTTGGGACTCTGCAATATCTGCCTGGGGCTCCCTGCCTAAGACCTTCGGCAAATCCTTCAGAAACCTCGGCCACTCAAATACTCGGCGCCCCTTGTGGAACGTACACACGGACTTGCGGGCACGTCGCCCCAACCAAACATCCCTTGCCCACGGGTGGAACGGGTATGTGTGGGGTAGCAAAGGTCAGACCTCTTCTCTAAACACATAAACTCAGTCCTACCAGAACCGAGGGTGGGTTGTTGGATGACCTTCTCAACATCAAAATGAATGAATCACTGCAAATCAAAAACTGCACCTGATGAATCCTCATGTGTGGAACTCCCTGTTCCAAAAAGATCTCCAACAAATGAGCAAATGTTTAAAGAAACGGATTACTGTCACACCTCCTACGCCAGGTCTCCCACCATCAGAACTCCGCCTGCTACCTCCTTCTCACCCCTCCTCCGCCTGCTACCATCCGTTCTCTGAGTCCCTCCGACTCGCTTCGGCTCATCGCCCCGGCATCGCCGGGGTCCATGACTTGCGCCCAGAAGTCCAGCACCGGGCCGCGGCACCTCCGCTGACCGTCCGGGGCGTCCGCACAGCATGGCAGGACGTGAAGGGAAGGGCGTCCAATGGAAATGACTTGGGGAACCAAGGGTTTTTCAATGTAATCGATCTAGAGATCTCTAAGAAGTCTAAAGACGGAAACTGGCCGAAACATGTCAACAAGCAGTTGAGACGCTGGTGCGCAGTGCCCTCCAAAGCGGCTAGCTTTTCTGCACTTTTGATGTCGCTCCTGCAAGGTCCGGTCTTGGTCACTTCTGACGTCCACCCCAGCCCTGACACGTCCAAACCGCATACCAATTCACATCCAAACCCACCGCCCCAGCTCCCCAGGGCTCAACCGCTGAGGTGAGGCACTTGCTTTCAGCCTCGTCCTTGAACTTCACCAGGGCCTCGGTCGGAGGGCTGGGCGGTCGAGTCAGAGGGTGAACCGCCGGAAGGAGATACAGATGGAAACCTGAAAACCACTGTGATACGTTTTATGTTGGTGGTTTATGTTTCATGGTGGTTTATGTTCATGTTCTTTTTTCTCCCAC